TAAAATAAAGAAAAAAGTGTGCAAGACAATAAGAAACACTACCTGCCAAAAAAAAGTGAAGTTTTGTTGAAATCGGTTGAAAATGTAGGAAATCCGATCCCATATATAAACGAACACACACACACACACACACACACACCTTGGGTTTTATAATAAGTATAACTCGATATGAGTTGTCCCCTTTCATTCTTGCGAGTGATGCCTCTTAATCGTGTTTTCAAATTGTTTTTTGTGCAAAAACAATTGTGTTTTTCCCATTTTTGGCGCTGTCAGAACCACCGCAAGGTAATTTTAGGTCGTCCTATGAAGTTTTGTTGAAATCGGTTGAAAAATGTAGGAAATCCGATCCAATATATAAACGTACAGACACACACACACACACACACACATACACACACACACACACACACACAACCTGGGTTTCATAATAAGTATGATTATAGATCAATAACGAAAAATATATTTTTATTTAAACCTATTTATAATACGCACCCCTAATATCACCTGTAATTTACAGTAAACAAATGCGTATTATTTTCGATAAATATATATGCAAAGTACCGTCTTCAACTTGCTAAAAGAAAAAAACAAACAAACAATAAACACATTTAAATGCCTTCTTTGAACTCAATTTTCGTTTCTATTTGAAAGGTTATGACCTGAAGCTAATCCGAATTAAAAGAAAAATGAATTCCACAAATAAATAAACATTTTTAGCTATTTTTAACACGTTAGCACGTTTTTCGTCAGCAATCGAGCTGATAATGTATACGAAAAATGTGTAACAACAAATTTAAAATTCTCTTTAAAATATAATATTTGTCCTAACGGTGTGTTTCGAAGTCCTTTATTGAATTTAAAACTTAATTGTTTAAAACTAATGCTTAAATACTGCTTTCCTCTTTGGCACCTAAACTCTATAGATTTAAGCATACCACTAGGTTGGCGGTAAAATCTCATCATTTTACATTTGAAAAGGCTAGATGTAACCGTAAGTCCTGTGCTAACGCTTTCTTCTCTCGCTGTTCTCTTGGATGGAACTGCCGGCTTCTTTATTCCCAGTCAACGTTGATCTTCAAAAATGTAAATGCAATGTGAATCGTTAACTTCTGTCTTTCTTAATTCGTATTTGTTGTTCCCTCATCTCAATATTGTCCTCTTTTTCTCATATTCTCTGTCGGTAACCCCTTGCGTCTTAGTGCCATGCTTGGGAGGAAATGATTTAAAAAATGCCAGCATAGGGCAGCACCATCAACCATAAAGCCAGACACGGCCTACAGATGAAGAAATTGCAGCAGAAACTAACGTTTCAAGAAGCTGTATCGCCATAACAGGCCCTGCCACTCAATCGCAGACTGACGTACACACGTACACACACACACACACACACACACACACACACACACACACACACACACACAATAAACAAAATATATATATATATATATATATCTTTAAGAAAGGCCTTATATAGCTTATAATTTTAAAAAATGAGGATCATAACATTCATTGAATAATGCATCTTTAAAATTTTGTTAGCGAAATGATTTCGCCATTTTATATCATTAACTTTACTAATTTACTTTTTTGTATGAATGATTCATTGTAAATATATATATATATATATATATATATATATATATATATATATATATATTAAATTCTCATTTTATTTTTAACGTTCTTTTTATAGATACAAAATTTAAGTAAACGCTCTGTTTATAATAAAAAGTATTAAATAACGTTTACCAGTTGAATGTCCGAAAATTTCATAGAAAATATTCGTCCTATGAAAATTTCTCGAACATTCAGGCCGGTAAATGTTATTTAATACTGTAAACATAAGCATTTACTTAAATTTGTATCTATAAAAAAACGTTAAACATAAAATTCTTTCATTTTAATAAATAAATTGTTTGGACTTGTCCATTATATCAAAACCAACCAACCAACATTCATCAAAATTTATTATTAATATAGCAAACACCATATTAAAGTGCATATAGCATTTAATACCATTTTACATTTCCACCAATTCTCGCTTGTTTTGCAAAAAATTCCAACGGATAAATTAAATAACTTTAAATAACTCCAAATAAATAATAATAAAAAATTTAAATAACAGGGCGTTCGCGCGTGTTTTTGAAAATCACCATCAGAGCGGAATGCAGATTCTATCGTAATTGCAATAAGTTTATCTTTGCAATTTAACCCTGAAGATGATCTTAGAAAAGGTCGAAAGTACTTGCGTTAAATAAAACTACGGCTCTTACCTTGATGAATATCATCTTAACATCAAGTTAAGTGCAATGGATCAGTATAAAAATAAGCAGACACAATATGGCTATATTATTCAATGTAACATGTTTGATTGAAGATATGCTATCTATCTATCTATCTATCTATTTTCTATATATATATATATATATATATATATGTGTGTGTGTGTGTGTGTGTGTGTGTGTGTGTGTTCCATTGAATAAATAATTGTTGCCACGCTTTCTTCTTGGTGGCAAGACCTTTTAACTGTAGAGAAATGATTTGTTGATATATGCCAATTCTCTTTGTCCAGATTACTAGGCTCTTTAAATAAGGAATAAAGAATTCGTTCCACTGTGAGCGTTTGCTATTAGTTATACTGAACGCTATATTCTCCGCAAAGGAATTTTATTGCGACATTCGAACGTTTTTTTTTTTTTTTAGTCTCCACCTATGCGACAACAGATTCCGAGCAAAGCAACCAAAGATTGTTATTATAGTAAAAAGATACAATTTTATACATTGTATTATCGTAACACTGTTTGCTATTGTGAATAGCAATATATGCAATTTATGCTGTTACACCTGGCTGGTTTAATTTGTTTTCATTTTATTCCAACGATGATTAATAATATTTTTCCCTGTATTCTTTTATTTTTATATGGCATTTTCACAACTTCAATTAGCATTTTATCTCAGAAGAATGCTTACAAGGATAGACGTCCATAATTATTCTGACAATGATTCCCAATATCTTAATATAATTTGCCGAATAGCTGATGTTCGGTCTGATAGGCTTTTTAGAAGAAATACCCCAAAACTGACATCTATCGATTGTTTCTTCTCCAAAATAAATTTGCCGGCCATCTTTTTCTCTATCACTAAGCCATTGTTTTTTGTTTTACCTCTATATTAACTAATCTAATTTTAGTAAAACACAAAAATCTATTGGGATTCTAGTAATATTAATAATAACCGTTTCCTTATAAGGAAATGTTCGCTGACCAATCAGCGTTACTTTCGGTTGAAATTTATAAAATCTTTCCATTAAAACAATTTTTCAGGAAAGTAGGCGTCTCAAATTCACCAGCTGTTATCGCTCTTTCCAGTATTGGTGGGAGTTTCCTTCCTAACCTTTTGTTTGAAGTAGTGTGGAACGTCAACATCTTGATTAATTTCATTATTTTTAAACCATCCATTATGGTTGTTGCTGCTGTTGCAATTGTGGTTTCGGTTCTTTGGTACGGTTCTTTGTGTTTCTGTAGCGTCAGTTCATAAATTTCAAAGAATTATTGTCCTCGTAAACACTCACAGGCTTCATTATTTACATTATTCGGACTATCGTCCTCATCTTTGTCGCCATATTTATCACAACGTTTCGGCCATTGTACGCTCCGGCCTTCTTCAGGTGGTTGGAATTTCAAACTGAACCCTTTATTTCGCTCACTGGGGTAGACGGTTCTAGTTCCACGTGCCATGTTTGATGGATGTCAGTTGTCAGTTATGTCCTGCTAATTTCCCTCTGAAAGTTCTCCACTGCCAACCACCTGAAAAGCCCGGATTGTACAACGGCCGAAACGTTGTGATAAATATGGCGACAAAGATGAGGACAATCGTCCGAATAATGTAAACCTAATTGGTTCCAATTATCTCAGAAAATATAGACAGACCTACAGGCTTCATTCGCTAGTCCTGGGTATGATGATAAACTACACCGGGCAGCAAGGTCTCTGATCGGGAGATGCTTTGAGGAGCGTGGAACCACCTCTTAAATGCTGTTGTTCCCAGGTCCACTCTGACCCGGGGTGGTAGCACCTGTAACAAATTCCTGATTAGTGCGCTGCTGGCCTTCCGTATTTCTTTAAGCTTTATTTTTATTTTTCCCTCGCTTTTGCGGACAGTGGTAGAATTACAGAGTTTTTATGTATCCTTTGACCTCAAAGATTACCGTGCGTAAATAAAATGTCATTTTTATTCTGTTTTACATAAAAGGTAAGCATTAGTAAACGTAAACATTTGCAATAAAGAACATGATAAATTGAATGGTAATTTTCATACAATGTATTTGTGTGTATGGGTGTGTGCTTTTTCACGTTACAATTGTGATAATGTTCATGTTATAAAAGGGAGTTAATCACCCCGTAATATCACAAGTCCTATCCCGGAGGGAACTTACACACGTGTTGTCATCCCGACAGTTCTTGGGTGAAGAAATTGAATCTCACGTCTTTTGACGGGATGTCTGTACTTGAAGTAATTCTATTGCTTTTATTTATTTAATTTATTTTAAACGAGGTTTAAATTTATTTTATTTTATTTATAATTTTCGTTATTATTATTATTATCATTATTTATTTATTTTATTTTTATTTATAATAATAACAATGTTTCTACAAGTCTAGGTGCCAAAGAGGAAAGCTCGTCTGAACAATTACCGCGAAAATACTTCAAGAAAAAACGTAGAGAAGCTACTTTATGGAGATGGGAAAGTGACTGAAGCCGAGATGCCAGGTCAGAACCAATAAAATTTGCGCATTTTCCCTCCCAAATGCTTGAATACCAGCTGAGATGAAAGATGAAAGCGTTAACAATGGATATCTTGAAAATGAATGGAACAATGCTTCCATCGATTTTCTTCTCGTGGCACTTAAAAGATATGTAAAATCTTCAATAAGCATATTTTGTTAGAAGGCGATTCTGCATAGAAGCGTAAATCATTGTTTATCTTACCCTTTACCGTAATGGCTTCCGTCTCACTCATGAAACGAAGACAGAAGGCAACAGTGTATAGAAGCTGATACATTTACACCAGTTAAGTTGCCACCAGTGATACAAAGATTATATACAATTTCCTTTAACCTATAATTAGGCAAGACGAGCATCCCGAGCCTCCTGACTCGCTGAGATATCAATTTATCAATTCTCTCGCACCGCCTTTCATTACCATTCCTCCCGCTTAGTTCGTCGAGTTTAACCTCTTATGAAAAAAAAAATTTTTTTTAAAAAACAACTCGTGTCAAACAAGAATCAGTAAACATGTAAATTTGATACGTGTTGAAGAAGAAAAATTTTTTGATTTAATTTTTTTGATTATTTAAAGAAAGGATTAAACATTTGCAAAATTAGTGGTTGAAAATAAAACAATCTGTCAAGCTTTCTTATATACCAACGAACAGAGATCTATCTATCTATCTATCTATCTATCTATCTATCTATCTATCTATCTATTTATCTATCTATCATTTTATGCATCTATCTATTTATCCATCTATCTATCTATCTATCTATTATATGCTAATTTGCTATCTATCTATCCATTGCTATCTATCTATCTATCTCAGTTCGGGATTATCTGTCTATCTTCCATCTATCTATCTATCTATCTATTATATATTGCTCAATATATTTATCTATTTATCTATCTATCTATCTATCTATCTATCTATCTATCTATCTTAGTCTGCTCATTATATATCTATCTATCTATCTATCTATCTAATTTTATATATCTATATTTTATCTATCTATCTATCTATCTATCTATCTATCTAAAATAAGAATGGAAATTTTGGAAATTTTCTTTCTATCTATCTATCTATCTATCTATCTATATTTATAGCATTTTCATTAATCTATCTATCTATCTATCTATCTATCTATCTATCTATCTATCTATCTATCTATCTCAGTTCGCCAATTATCTATCTATCTATCTATCAATTCTAATCTATCTATCTATCTATCATTCTATTATAGTCTGACTCATTATTCATTATCTATCTATCTATCTATCTATCTATCTATCTATCTATCTATCTATTGAAATCTGCTCATTATCTACCTATCTATCTATCTATTGTCATCTTCAAATTTATCTATCTATCTTAGCATGAAATTTGCTACAGATCTATCTATCATTCATCTATCTTATATCTATCTATCTATCTATCTTAGCCTGCTCATTAACAATCTATCTATCTATCTATCTATCTATCTATCTATCTATCTATCTATCTATCTATCTATCTATCAAGCCTGTGTCATTATCTATCATCTATCTATCTATCTATCTATCTATATCAGAAGAAAAATATTATCTATCTATCTATCTGTGTGAACTATAGGGGTAAATTAAATTAGAATGGACGTTCAATAGATTTTTTCCTTATCGACACTGAACGTAATTTTTCAAACCACTCGTTGAGACTTTCAACAATAATGATTACATTAAAGACATGAATGTTTTATGTTTCACCGTATATCTGCTATTTTCCATTTGACAGACAAATAACATTTCAAAACATGCACACACACACAAATTCAATGAAAAAAAATTCGACCTAACATAATAAAAAAGAATGTATAAATTATTATTTTTAACTTAATATAATAATAACGAAATAGTGAAAAAATAACGGCAGTCAATTGCTAACTCCTCTTCATCAATTGATATATATTACAAATAATTTCGTCTTTGAAAAAATAATTAGGGTTATTAATATAACATTAATCAGCTTAGTGACATTTTATATTTGTAAAATCTTATATATATATATATATATATATTATTTTTTAATTACATAAAAAAGAATTATATTGTTTTTTTGACGTTCAACTTAAAAAAAACGAATTAAATTGCACTATGATGCTATATATATATATATATATATATATATATATATATTTGTATGTATGTATATATATATATATATGTATATCATATATATATATATATATATATATATATATATAAATATATATATATGTATAATATATATTTATATGTGAAATGTAATTTTTTATATGTATTATTTTTTATATTATATATGTATGTTAATACTTATTGTTTTTGTTCAATATCAGTGATAGAGCTTTACATACAAACTGACGATTTTTTTTCAAGTGAAATTCTGCAGGTTCAAAAAAAAAAAAAATCAATCCAACTAAATAATATATATATATATATAATAAGAGAGAAATTATATATAAGGAAAGACAATGAAAAACCAAAGAATGGACGTGATATATTATATATTTGTTAATATATCCTGTCAGTTTAGTTCACTTATAATCTACTACATCAATCAAATTTGATAGAATAAAAATCTATCAATCTATTTTTATCTATCTATTGATGTAAGATAGTATGTATCTATGTATCTGTTTGTCAGGAAAATGTCCACTATCATATAGGAAAATTGATATTCCATAATGTAAACATTCTATTTAAAGTATTGAACTGTTTTTTTTTTTAATTTTGTCTTAAAAATTTTTCAAATATCACTCAATCTTTCTACATACCTTCAGATTTTGGTGACCCTTTTTCTTTGTCCTCTCTTGAAACACTGACCGGACTGAGAGACTCGTCCGTAGAGTGGAAAAAAGTGGAGGCTGAAGCAATAAAATCTTTTTTAAACCAAAATCATAATGTTGTTACTTCTATTACTGAACATTAAAGATGCTGGATTTGAAAATTTAGCCCAGTTGAAAAAAAAATGAAATGCGGCATTGTAATATAATAAATTTTATATATTTATTGTGTTCACAGATGTCAAATAGATAAAAAAAAATAAGTAAAAAAATATGAAAAGGAATATTTTTGTCATCCATTTCGCGTGTGTGTGTGTGTGTGTGTGCTTATATATATAACGTCAGATTAATGACTTTTATAAATTCTAGAAAATTGCACTTTTCAAATCCTGCCGAAGGAAATAATATTTTCTCTAATATGATTTCACGAATATTCAAGGTGGTAGACGAAAAAAATAAATATACTGTTTAATAAATAAACGGATCTTCTACTCAAATACAAGTATCCACTAAAAATAACGTATTATATATATTATATATATATATATATATATATATATATATATATATATATAGTTTATGAAAAACTAGGTAATCCGTATGGGTAAACCTGAGGAGGATAAAATCCAGAGAGCTCAATGTAAATTCAGAGCAAATAATTTAAATAAAAACAGACCACTTTAAGGTTCCATGTAATAAATTATTTCACCACAGCCCTTTTAAAAGGACTGTGGATCATCAGACTTTACTTCCAAACAAAAAATGAAAAGAAAATTTACACATTTTTGACGGGCCGTATTAAACATATGTAAATTAACGAAGTGAGGAAGTGATGGGGGGGGAGAGAAGACATGAGTGAGTTAGCAGATATTGACACATTTAAACGGTTAACTTAACGGAAGTTATATATTGATATCGAAGTTATATATGTATATATATAATAAAAAAGTTATATATATATATATAATAAAAATGTGATATATTTATCGTTAAAGTTGGTCAATAGTAAGTACATGGAGTATGTAAATAAAAATAAAAATATAAATAAAAAATATAAACGTATTCTTAATATTACGTAACAAACTGTCGCCGATGGGTGTTGACCTTAGTGTTTTTTTTTAATTTCATATCTGCTCATGAATGTACGTTAAAGATTCATGGAAGATTGAAGTTTAAATACAGTAAATTCGACATTAAAAAACCGAACGCTCCTCTGTTTTTAAATCGGTAAAGGCACGTCAAGCACTAATGACGGTCCTGTATGGGATACAGGTTCGAATCTTATTATACGACGAATATTTTCTGAAAATTTCTCGGACATTTAAATAAATTTGTTTAATACTGTTTTTTATAAACAGAGCATTTATCTAAATATTTGTATCTATAAAAAGAATGTATAAACATAAAAATGTCTTAAAAATAATTGTCGGACTTTGTCCATTTCATTATATATATATATATATATATATATATATATATATATATATATATACAAGCCAGGAAAAAAAATATGAAACTTGAAGTTGCACTACAACCCTATATATATATATATATATATATGATATCGGACATTCAGTGCTGGTGTTAATAAAATATTGCTCGATGTAATATAATAAAGCCATTAAGTATAGTATAAAATATATAATAGTATATGTATTTAATATACATATTAATCATCATCGTAGGACGATTCGGTGTTACATGCACAGCGCAGTCTTCAGGTGCTGAGTAGAATCTATTTATATAAATTTCCATTTTTACTATAACAACAATATAAAATTCCGATATAATCATAGGATTCTACCTAAGAGCAATCGCTTTGCAGTTATCATTATTATTTTATGGTGCGATGGGGAAATTATCGCCATTTTATATTTTTCATTTCGCGCATGCGCGTTGTTTGTTTTTTATTTTGTCAACTGCACAATATAGTGTGGTCTGTTGGGCACCGTCTGTGAGCAGCATGACGCAATTCACTCCGCCAGAAATTTGGAAACGGCATTCTATACTGATTGGCATTCGAGGCGGAAGGTACAATATAAACATTTCAGAGTGTTTGGGTGTCACAGATTATGAAATGGATAAAGTTTAAAAACAGTAAAATCATTTCATAATGCGTGACGTCATTTGTTTACATTTCGATACGCATCGGGCAGATATAAATGTACGTGAGAAAACTGTAAGATCGACCTTGCTAACCGAAACGCTCCTCTGTGGCTCAATCGGTAAAAGCACGTCAGGCTATATGACGGCACCGTATAGGATACAGGTTCGATTCCTGTCGGAGGACGCATATTTTCTATGAACATTTCTCGGACATTCTGACCGGTAAATGTCGTTAATACTGTTTATTTTAAATAGAGCATTTACTTAAATAAATGTATCTATAAAAAGAACGTATATAAACATAAAAAATGTCTTAATATATATATATATATATATATATATATATATATATATATATATATATATATAATATATATTTAAAATAATGTCAATCGCTATCTATGTCTCCTCCTGATTTCTCTTTCTACTCATTACTAATGTTTGTGTTCCTAATTTTCCCACACCCTTTAACACCTTGCGTGTTAGTGGCTGTATTTTAATTGTTTCTTTCTGACATATATATATGTATATATATGTGTGTGTGTAGTCACAACAACGTCAACAAACCTAGTGCGATGAAGTGGATGAAATGAGTCACAATAATTTTTTCCATTTTGTTTTACAAATTCCATATCCCCCTCTCTCTCTCTCTCTCTCTCAGTATATATATATATATATATAATGTAATTTGTAAGAAAAAAAAAAATCATTTACTGTGGCTATCTCTCTCTCTCTCTCTCTCTCTCGATAGATAGATAGATAGATAGATAGATAGATAGAATTTCAGGACATAAAAAAAGAAGTCATTCAGCAACAAATTGTAAAATTTACTGGCCCAGGGCCAATTTATATTCTATTCACTCATCCAAGACTTAGCTTTATCGTAACCGATTCGTATTTCTAAACAGAGACGTGTGCTTGATTGGTTATTTTCAGCGCACAATCAAAGTCCGCTTTTGATGAAGACCTACAATTCACGAATAAAGAAACAAGAGACTGACATTTGGTCTTATATCAGCTTCTGCCCGTAACTTAAGCGTGATGGAGTGGGGATGTATTCAGTTGACCTTTTCTCTCTTTAACAAGCCGCTTCCCCCGACACCAAAGGCCAGACAACCCACAACTATTCCACTCAACCTCGGCCTATTAACTATCAACAAAGATAAGGGTTACCTCTCCCTCCGTTCCAGCTTTCTGTCACATCCCTCGTCCAAATCCACTCGGCGAAGTCTAGTCTGTTCAAGTCAATTGCTGCATCTCTGCCGACACCGACGCCGTGTTATCTCCGACGCTGGTCGCTTGTCTCTTACACTTCGCCGAGTGGTAAATGTCTTTTTAAAGACCCCAACGAGTGCCAGATACACGCGTTCTCGTTAACATTTCTGGGTGGCCTGACGGGCGGCAGCGTCGTGGCGAACGCACACGACCTCATCTTGTAGTTCTTTGCCAATTATGACCTTGTGTACATGCACGAGGCCAAAAATGTCACAAAAGGCGCGTCATCAGAAACACTGGCTTCTCTACTTTTGCTAAGAACAGGACAGGTACAATGGTCGTGTCTCTACCCACGAATCTGGGATATACCCCCACAATCTATGATGGGGCTCATCTCTACTGCATCTTAATTTTCATAAGGTAATATTCATATAAAATACGAATTTTATTGTAACCTAATTATGTACAATAATGGATCATAAGCAATATAGGT